AAAGAACGGGGAATAGTCTCACTGTTGTTTGTTTGTTTTTGTTTTTGGTCAGCTCAGCCTGCCCTGAGTGCAGGGCTGGTGTTAAATGTGGTGCCAGGGATTGAATTGCAGTCCCCTGCGCCTGCCTAAGCTTGCCTAAGCAGGTGCTTTAGACCACTGAGCTATCTCACCGGCCCAACAGTCTCAGTTAACTATATATTTTTCACTAACATATTTGTAAAAATGGGCTGGGGAGATAGCTCAGCTAAGTGCCTTCTTGGCAAGTGCAAGAAGTCAAATTTGATTACCAATACCACATGCTGTGCTAGCTCCAGGCACTGAGCTGACCATTGAAACCAGGTGTGATGGTGCACCCCTATAATCTCAGCGCTGGGGAGGCTGAGCCAGGAGGATCACTATAAGTCTGAGCTGCTAAGTTTTATTTATTTGGTATAGTGAGACCCTATACCAAATAAATAAAAGATGACATATTTGTAAATTAAAGAAACTGTATGTTTTTCCCCGAAATATTTAGCATATATCCTCCCTAAATAAAAATGCTGCTTGTGATGATGCATGACTATAATCCCAGGACCCTGGGGAAATAGGGCAGAGGGATCACAGGTTTGAGTTTAGCCTGGGTAACTTAGTGAGTTAGAGAGACCCTTTCTCAAAGAGCTGGAGATGTAGCTCAGTGTAAAGACTGGCTTCAGTCCCCAGTACAAAAAGGAAGAAAGGGGCTTTTCTTGTGTAACCACCTATCACACCTAACAAAATGAACACAACCACTTGAGAGCCATTCTAGTGGAGGTTTTTTTTGTTTTGTTTTGCGGAACCGGGGATTGAACTCAGGCCCTTGCACTTGCCAGGCAAGCGCTTATTCTACTGAGCTAACTCCCTGGCCCCTGTAGTAGAGGTTTGCAAACTCCAGATGCCAGAGACTGGTTCAGATCTGACAGTAGAAAGTAGAGCTAAGGTTTTTGGCGAGCTTCACAGGGCTGGATTGTGGAACTGAGAAGTACCACTTTGTGTTCTTGGACAGAACAGAGTGGTGTCTCCTGCTGCTTGGTCCCCTCAGTGCTCAGGACAAGGACCAGAGCAGAGCTCAGTACTTTTTGCATTCTTTTTCTTTTCCCACAGTATTATAGCATCTCTATAATGATAGGCTTCCCTTTGCTCTCAAATTTGTGTATAAAACTAAATTTCCCAGTGGTACATTTATGTTTTGGTGTTTGAATTATGTTAAAGACTCTTTCTGGGCACTGGGTGAAATTTGTGTTGTGTTGTTTTGAGACAGGGTTTTGCTGTGCAGTTCAGGCCTTGAGTTCACTGTGATCCTCCTGCTTCAGCCTCCCCATTGCTGGTATTGGTTGTAAAGGGTCACAGTGCAGCCCAAAGTACTTAATGTGTCTTGTTTTGACAAACCTAACTTTTCTCTTGCTATAGTTGTCCATATTGGTGCATCCTGACAAAAACCAAGACGATGCTGACAGAGCACAAAAGGCTTTTGAAGGTATTTGTAAATTTAACCTGCTTCTGAGTAATACATTGTGCGAGAGATTTAACTGTTCTTTGTCTTAGATCAAGAAAAGAAAGTTAAGAGTTTTGTCTTCTGGACATGAAGAACCTGTGGATTTCAGTAGAAAGACTGTTGCTTAAAAAGACCTTGGGGCTGGAGTGCACCTCGGCTGTAGAGCACTTGGCCCAGCATGTGCAAGGACCTGGGTTTAATCCTTAATGCTAGAAAAAAAAAAAATGAAAGTAGACTATGACTTTGCTGTGTGTTACTGTTTATGTATCCACAAGGATTGTTACTGCATAGGCTCTTTTTTTTTTTTTTAGTATAAGGAAATGATTTATTACTGAGTTAAATGTGGATGTGTTGTGTTCAGCCTTGAGTGTGTATATACTTTTTTCCCAATGCTTTCAAGGTCTCTACTGTATTTTTATGTTTTTTAAAAGTTAGTTTAACAGCAATAAATAATTTAACAAAGTAGGGAGTGCTTTTAGAGCGCACAAGTTCATTTGCACTGCCTGAGTATAGTTCAGAGGGTATTTGCAGAAACAGTTAATTTCAATGTTTTGCATTAGCTGTGGACAAAGCTTACAAGTTGCTACTGGATCAGGAACAAAAGAAGAGGGCCCTGGATGTAATTCAGGCAGGAAAAGAATACGTGGAACACACTGTAAGTATTTATAGTGCTGCTGTGTTTAAGGAAGTATCAGCGAGCCCCGGGCACTTTGTAGGAGGGTGAATGTAAGGTAGCAGTGCCCACCAGCTTGACTTGTGAGTACACGTGTGATCACCGTGCAGTTATGGTGGTCATGAATAGTGTATGCCTAAAGCTAGAGTCCACCCCTACGGGAAGAGCTCAGGGTGAGGCAGGGCAAGGACACAGCTTCTCCTTCTTCCCCATAACATGTATGTTGTGGACAGAGGGCTGCTTGTGCTCTCATGTCACACTGCCACCTTACCCCATTGAGAGTGGACTAGTGGAGAGGGCTGGTGGCCATGGCTCGACTTTTTATTCTTGTCTTTGAAGGGTTTGGAGCATGGGATTGAAGAAGGGGATTCGAGTAAATTATTTATTTATTTATTTATTTATTTAATTAAAGAAATGCATGTTTGTACCAATAACATGGATCACTAGGTGGGGAAGGACACTGAAAGAAATTCTTTTATACCTGGTGCTTTTTGGGTTTTGCTCTTGGGATATTATATGTCTTTGAAGTGGTTGGAAATGGCTTGCTTGAATCAATGAAGGCTTTTATTTTAACTTTGCTGGAGCAAAAAAGTATCAAGGTCATTTTAGAAGGTGTTTCAAAGGCAAGCTAATGTGGATGTGACTTTTCTTTTAAAACTTGGGACTTTGAAACAAAATTTATAAACAGTAAATCCAGTTTAGATGAGGAAGATCAGTAAAATGAGGAGATGAAGAGTTGTAACTGTGCCTTGCTGGTCATGTGTTGGGAGTGTCAGTTGTAGAGTCCTGGCAGAAATCAGAAGAGTGTACATAGTTTTAATCTTTGTGGCACTTGACCCTTTCTGTATGAGTTACCTTAAGGAAGTCGTCCTTAGACTTCCTCACCACAGGGTGGCACTAGGGCCTTTCTGAGCTTAGAAGGTACTTGTCTTTGCTGGTATAGTAGGTTATTTAGTGGACTATTGTCCATCTTGTGTGAATGGGTATTTTTAAGTATTTGCTCTCAGTGTGGTCAGAGCAATAAGATATTGGTGTGATGTGAAAATTGTTCGTTTCTGAGAGTTACATAGTGAAAATAATCAAGAATACAGTTGTAGAAATGCTGGAAAAATACTATTTACACTTAATATAATACTACAGATTTTGTAACTTTTTCTAGAGACATTTTTCCCCTCTAACTGTGTAACTAATTTGAGAAGGATAAACAGGTAATCTGTTCATTATATCTGAGGCTGTTTGGATGTGGTGTGGTCTGAAGAGTATGATGAGTCATCTTTGGCTCCCTTCATCCTTCTGGTAGATTGGCTTATAGGCAAGGATAGAGGAAGGACTGAACATTCCTACCTTTTTTTGCTGCATCGCAGGTTTTCTTTTTAGTGGGGATAAGGGAGGTCATCTTTCCTTACTACGATCTTTTTGTTATACCTAAACATGCAGAAAAATGCACCTATCATATGTGTGTACCTCGGGTATTCTCAAAGTATGAGTGCTCGTCATTTGATAAAAAAATTTTTTTTTAGGTGAAAGAACGAAAAAAGCAATTAAAGAAGGAAGGAAAACCTACAAATGTAGAGGAGGATGATCCGGAGCTGGTAAGTCAAATACGGGAACAGCCCTTTTACTTTCTGTAATTGGATCCACTGACTGGTGGGTTAGAGGCCTAAAAGATGAAGAATACTTTTTTAAAAATTTTTATTTAGTACAGGGTCTACAGGGTCTCACTACATAGATCGGACTTGTAGTGATTCTGCTATTTTCAGCATCCCAAGTGCTGGGATTACAGGCGGTGTGCCACCACGCCCAGTCTCAATCACTGTCTCAGCTCTCCTCTGGGGCCGGGCTGGAGTGGCATGCAGGGGATGGAACCCCTGCCAAAGATTACTTGTTACAAATAGTTTATGTTTTAACTTAAAACATGTAAATGAGCATTACTTAGGTGTGCGGCTGTTTCTCTTGAGTGTACATCTGCTGATTAGAGTTACTGTCTATGTAGAGCAATAGACTATATAGAGAGTACTATGTTTGCTTTTAATTTCTTTTGAAGTACATTGGACAGGTACTTGTTGAACAATCCAAGAGTAGAATTTTAGATAGATTTTTTTCTCTTTTCTTCTTTTTCTTTGGCGGAACCGGGGCTTGAACTCAGGCCCTTGCACTTGCCAGGGAAGCGCTTATTCCACTGAGCCATCTCCCG